CAGGGCAGATAGTTTTACCGTTAATCATTGTGAATTCATGCTTCTCCCTTTTGGGTTTGCCATCTGAAGGACCTTGTTATTTCAGACTGGAGGGACCAGCTCAAAGAATTGAATGAAACTAGCTGGGGAGAGTTGTGTGCTGACTCTTCTTACTGCTGCAATGAAAGGGCCCACTGTAGAGACAACCTTTGAACTTTAAAAGAAAACAGTGTGAAAGAGGACAGATGAGTGGCAGTGTGATGGCTCATCTGCATTGTCCCTCTCTCTGCATTTCAGGTGCCCTTTCATAGTCAAATAGTCACCCATAGTGGGGCCTTCAGTTAATTTTAATTAAGGAATTTTAGCTGCATGTGTCCAGTGAGAGCTGGGATGTGCTTATTTTCAGGCATTGTTTTTCTTCTTTTGTCCAGCTTTGCTATTTTTTTAAATGTAAATCTCTTCATAAATACTAGTATCCGTTTCTTAGGTAGTTATCAGTTAACCGTGGTGTTGGATACTGTTTCAAGAGTTAACTCAGTTCTTTGTAATACTGTAGCTTTGTGATTGTTTGGTGTCTTTGTGTGCCTGTATGCTAGGGTTTTGCGTAAATGCAACCAGCAGCCAAATCTTCTAAACAAGATTGCTTTTGAAAGTGCTCAATCCACAAACACTGTTAAAATTCCAGTGTTCTTGTTTTATTATGGATCGCAAGAAAAGCCATTCAGTCTACCCGGACTGTTTGGTGGTAGCTAAATAATCACAGAAGCGTTAGTTTCTTTCAAGAAATAACTAAATATTGACTGGGACAAAATGCGGGAGTCTAAAACTACCCAGGCACTACTCTTTGTGTAAAGTAGTGCCTCTGTTCTTGGCTTTTATCTTGTTAAAGGTGATCAGTTTTGCCTGAAATGTTGAGTGTTAGTGGTCACACCGACTGCTACGTGATCAGGTTTGACGGACAAGCAATGATTTCTCGCCCTATTGGCTGAAGTGTTTTTGCTGACCCTTATTTTTTTTTTAATCTGCTTTTTTTCCACTGCATGATTGGAATTGAACACATGACTAAACCGTGCATTGTACTGGACATCTACTTTGCCTCAGGTACTGGCAAACAAGTGCTGACAGCCATTTTTAGCACTAGAGAAAGTGCTATTTACTGCTTGATAGGACTAAAGTGGTTGTTTGCTAAACTTTAGAGACAAATAGCACACACATTGTATAGGAAAGTAAATTTAATAGTCCTTCTCCTTATTATGCTTAATAAATGAATGGAGAACTGTTTTGATACAGTGTGCCAGAATTTTGGTTTGTGTTTGATAATGGGTTGAGAGACTTAGCCTTGCTGTTTTCCAGCCCCTTTTCTAGCTGAGCGCACCAGGTGACACCAGAACGGTGAGCTAATCCATTTGTGTGCGCTCTTTCCTGCAGCAGTGACCGAGAGTGACCTTGAGGTGTCTGTTTTGTTTGCCAGCCAGGTGATTTTAGGTGGCTGCATGCTTTGGCTCTGTAACAGTGGAGAACTGTTCTGTACAGCTGTGAATCGCAAATAACAAGCGGGCTCATTTGCACAATCTGTATCTACTAGGACCTGGCCTTGGATATCTAAAGCCGATATTTTTTCTTCTGTTTAAACCACACAAAGCCTAGCTTTATGTTTCATAACCACTTTTGTTAAGAGGAGGATATTGAATTGATCTGAAGCAGGACGTCAGACTTGCTGCGATGTGGACTACATTTTTCTGGGGGGGATTACAACTCCTCCGAGATGGGTATTTTCTCCGTGGGTTTGTGTGGGTTTCCTATGGTTGCTCCAGTTTTCTCCCACAGTTCAAAGACATGCTGGTAGATTAACAGGCATTTGGTAAAATTGGCCCTGGTGTGTGTCTGTGTCTGCGCACGCGCACGTGTGTGTGTCCTGCTATGGACTGGTGTCCTGTGCAGGTGGTACCCTGACTTGTTCCCATTACTTGCTGGGATAGCCTCTGGCACCACTGTGATCCTGCATTGGATAAATTGTTAGAAATTCTCTCCTTTTTGGAGAAGGACAGGAGTTCAGAAGGGGCTTGAGTTGACGAGAGGACTGGAGGTTTTGCTTTGCAGTGTGTGGTAAAACTGGATTGCCGACTCCTGGGTTATAGCTGGAGATGCCACCGGTAACCCCAATCACCTCCTGCATCGAGGCTCTGAATAACTCGATGCTGATGGGGAAGAAAACAGTGTTTTGCTTCAGGGAAAATGCTAGAAACTGGTCTAGTGATGTTTTCACTTAATCTCTGCCTCTAGACAGGCTGGGGGAACTTTTCTCAGCCTGTTTGTTTTCTCTCTCCACCCAGTTCTGTTGAAAAGGATTAGGTTACAGCAGTGTGGGGATGTATGGTGTCTGAATATTCATTTTCATACTGAAGTGTTTTGTTTAAAGGTTCCGTATTGGTTGAGCTCTTTTGAACATTTCATCTTATGTGTGGAAATTGTTCTTGCTAATTCCTGATCTTTTCACTTGAAAAAAGATGAATTCACTCTGTATAGCTTTACATAGTTTTGTTATAGAAACTTAGTTATATAAAACTTAGTTTCTAGTAGGGGAAGCTGTTTGCATGCTAAACTGGTGGAAAACGCTTTCTGTCCTAATTCAAAACCTAGTTAAAGCTACCAGTAGTGAGCACAGTGTAGAGGTTTTTGATGGCGACGAAAGGTATAATCGTTGGTGTGTGCAGAATTGTTGCATTTGGTAGACTCGGAGGAAATGCAACAATTCTGAAGTTTTACCAAATTAAGAGATTTCAAGATGTCTTCCACCATACCCAGGTGTCCAAAGCACATGTTAAAAATGGTAAAGATCCAAATGCAGCCTAAGCTCATTTATACTTGTTTTGTTATGTTGGAGGAGGCCATGTGCTTGCTGAGAATGTGGTATGTAGTTTATGAAGATGATGTTGAATCGTAAGTACAGGTACACATGAGAGGAAGCCATCCATTAGCTTGGAATCATGCTTGAAACCCAATGCTTTGTCAATATTACCATGCTTTGCCTGTACACAAATGCTCATTTATGTTGGTAAAAGACATCCAGATTGAACTGTGTTCTAACTAGAGTGCGTAGGAGGAAAAACCCCTTATTGCTTTCAGGGTTAATATCTGAGCATGTGGGAGCTGTGCTTATCTGTTGGCAGCATGCTGCAGGGGTCAGGAATAGCTAACAATACAGGAACGATACTAGCTTGTAGATCACTCTACCTCTTGATAAGAGCTGCAACTGTTTAAAATGGCAAACTGTAGCCTTTCTCCCATTAACTATTGTAACAATTCTTAAGCAGGTAACAGTTACTGCTGAATTAGTAGAAATGGAGATGCAGGATATGGTTAGCTGGTCTTCCTCATTTACTTCTTTCAAACATTACACAATATGAATATAACTTACCCTGAGACTTTTTACAGTCTGTACAAAGTAAAATGTAACATTTAAAACTTAAAGTATCCAGTTTTTGACTGCAGAAATCCCCAGTGTAATTTACTTTTATAATAAAATCCACATTGCCTCAGTTCATCATGGCAGAATTTGAGTAAAGCAATGATTGACTATTAGATCAATTGCACATTTATATAGACCTGAGAAGCTCTGAAGCAAACTGCGGAACATTTCCCTCCTAGCTAGTCCTATGCAAAAAAAAACTTGATGGGTTCAGACGTGTATTCTTTACTGATTTGACTTTTAATAAAAACTGGTTAATGGATAAAAAAGCCTATACCATGATCTGTCTTGGGAACTTGGGACCATTCCTCTTAAAAATTGGAGAATTGGCAAAGAAAATTCAAACACTATACAAAATACCAGGCATTTGCTCTGAATTGAATATAAGTGTGGAGTGTTACTGAATATGAAAAGAACAGCTGAGCTTGAAAAAGCTGCTGATTAAACACTTTTTTCATGTTTGTTTGTTGCCATTATTTGCATCTTCTACACTGACAAACTAGAAGAACTGAATCTGTGAACAGATAAGACTAGGGAAACCTAGTAGAAGTATTTAAAAATGCCTCAAAGCACAAAGTCAGCCTAGTGGTCCAATTTTAGAATTTTTTTTGAAGTTTTTAGAAGTGAGACCAGGAGGCACTTCTTTCCACAAAGGGTTGTGGGAGTCTGGGACAGGCTATCCTGTTTTGTTGTGGTAGCACACGACTGGATGAGATCCTCACATCAGCTGGATTCTCGCAACCAGACGAGCAAGGTGTGGCTGCCCGACCTCGTGCGTGGCTGAGCAGCGGAAGGCGCGGGCGCGGAGTCTGGGTGTTGAGGCCCGTGGTTTGCTCTGAGCTGTGTGACCGGGGTTCCCCTTAGTTGAAGTAAAAATTGGCTGAGCTTTGCATGGGCTTGACTTGAGCCAGGGGCGACCTGGGCTTCCCAGGTGCCCATGGTCACGCAGTGCCGCTCGTGCTGAATAGAGGACGGACTCAGCACTGCCGGGCTGCTCATATATTCCTGAGGAGCAGGCTCTGTGCAGAGCCTTGGTCTTTCTTGCTTGCAGTGTTAGCCGGGGAAATGGAGAATTGGTAGTTTCCAGATTGAGAGTCAGGTGATTCCTCTTCCTCCTCCACAAATGCTTAACTTCCTCTTTGCTGGAGGACTGTGGGAGTTCTTTCTTGAGCTGTGGTATGAAGCACCACCCATAATGAGGAGGGGGGGGTCAGGAAGGTAGAAACATTGTTCAGTGGTTTTCCTTCAGGGTCCTTTGTGCCCAGCTCTTCCTCTCATTGTGAAGCAGGGTTCTCCAGGCGCTGGACTACTCACCCATTTATTGGGAACGTGAGATGGGTTAGTGGGTGTGAGGTTAGTTTTACCCAACTGATGCCATGTTGTTGCAGCAGTAGTCCAACAAGAGGATCCACAGGTGTGGACATTTGCCTGAGGAACCAAGAGTGCAAAACTACGGTCTGTGGGATAATGATTGAACACCTCAAAACGGCATCCCCCATAAACGGAGGACTAGGGTCTCCTTGCTGACTCCTCTCCCTCCCTCCTTCTTCAGGCACCTGTTCTTCATGCACGTGAAAGACGACCTTCTCGGGGGGCGTCTGCGGTGCGCCCCGGAACAGGCCGAGGAGCTGGGCGCGCTGATGGCTCAGGCGGAGTTTGGGGACTACAACCAGAACACGGCCAAGTACTTCTACAAGGACTTCTGTGGAAGCGAGCCGACCACTGCGGTGCTGAACAGGTGAGTTGGGACTTGTGGCTTCATCACCTCTGTTCCGTTCATTCCCTAACTCTGTGCAATTTAAAAGGATTCAGAGCGTATCATCCGATTGCGAGTTGCGTCACCCTGTACTTTTATCGGATCTTGTTTGGAAGGATACTTTTCGGGTGGTGCTATTTAGCATCCTGGCTACCTCTTTGCCCAGGAACTGCAGAGATGGGGAAGGCAAGCACTGCTTTGGCAGTGGGTTTACACACTGTTCCTCTCGGGTTCTAGTAAGCTTGAGCAAGGCTTCATGCCAGAACCTGCATGAGAATTAGCACAGGAAATTCCAAGCATGTAGATGCATAAAGTGAATTGTGTAGAGCAGATATGGGATTAATTGGGGTTGTACATGTTACACAGCGCATCATAGTATTTTAGCTGTTATGGAGAACATTGCAATGGCCCTCTTGTCTTGATTTAATGTGGATTTCTTTGTTCGTTTAACGTTTTGTGTAACTGGGTGTGTGGTGTAAAGGATGGCCATAGCTCATATCGTGGTGTTTTTATACTGTTAGTCTTGGCAGGTAAGTCTCCAATATTTGTTGTGAAATGTGGGTTAGTATGATGTAATAAGCGACTGTTCTCTTGCAATAGTTCTCCAAGTCTGAGAT